CGAATGCAACAGCACCACAGGGCAGTGCCTGTGCCTCGAGGGCTACGCAGGGCTGAGGTGTGAGAGCTGTGCCCTGGGCTTCTACCCAGAGCAGGGCAGCCCACGGTGCCAGCCCTGTGCCTGCAGCCCCAGCGGCTCCAGCAGTGCCCAGTGTGACCCGTGAGTAAAGCTGGGCGGCCCCCGAGGGGCTCTGCGCGTGGCTTTGGGATTTGGGATGCAGATCTTCTCATCTGGTGCTAGTACTGAAAAAGTGAAAAAAAGCAGGAAGGAAGCTGGTCTTACAAAAATTCATGAAGCTTATTTCTCTTTCAAGAGCTGGATTATAAAAATATCCCTAGCTGTGGCAAAAGCCCTGGCAGCCCCCAAGGGAGCTGACTTGCATCTGTGAGTCGCACAGAAGCAGAACCTCTCCCTGATGCCTTGTGCATCCCTCGTGCCTGAGCTGGGGAGGGGAGTGGAGGCTGGGGTGGAGCACAGGGGCTTTGCAGAGGTTTGTTTTCTAGAGGGATATTTGTTACTCCAGAGACAGGTGAAGCTTTGTGCTCGGCCCTTGCTGAGAGTCAGGGTGGAAGCAGCAGCCTGACCACGGAGTCAGCTCCTGCCTTGCCTGGCATTTACAGTCACTGGAGCTGATGCTTTGAGCTCTTGTATAATGAATGTGTTCCTCTTCATTTCACCTCACCCACCCTCACATCTTGCCTTTTAAGAGCTGGCACGCAATTATTTTCCAACTGTGGCGCAGTTGAGGATGTCTGTTCCTCCAAGAACAATCTGGGCAGCAGCCTGACCCTTTGGGTCCCCAACTCACGCTCTCAGGACAGTGAGCTGCAAGGTCTGTCCTTGGAGGAGATCCCAACAAACCACCCTGCAGTGACTTCCAGCCTTCCCAGGTTCCTGCTGCCTTGTTGTCTTTCAGGGCTTGGTCCGAGCTCAGCGCGTGTTGAACACCTGCACTTCCCTGCCAGGGCTGGGGCTGAGTCAGAGTCGAAATGCTCTGCAGGGACATGCTGTCTGTAATTATTTTATGAATTATCTTTTCCCAACACCCAAACCCTCTGCTGATGTCCTTCCTTTTTGTTCAGTGCTGCATTTTGCTGCTTGCATAAGCTCTGAAAATTCGGAACTTAAAAGTAACACTCCAGTTGACTAGAGTGACCTTCTTACTAAAAAAGGTGATCGTTGGGGGTGGAAAGTTAAGAGTTTTTCACTTTTTCCTTTTCCTTAGTGTCTGTTTTAGGTATGGGAAGATGTGCCTGGAAGCATCAGGGTTTGCCACAGACTAGAAAGTGTGAGTTTGGTCAGATCTACTGGGAGGGCGAATTGGGCAGAAAGGCAGATGAGGCAAATCTAATCTTTGGGAGCTGGGAGAGGAGGAGAGGCACTGCTGGAGCAACTGGGTTAACTGGGAAGGCTCTCTCCCTGACTGAGTCAGTGGGCAGCGTGTGAAGCACAGACCTGTGTGATGTCTCCCTGTGTCTCACGGCGTGGGGCGAGCCAAGAAACGCCCTGGGAACTTCGGGTGAGATGCTCTGAGTCGTGAAGGAGATCGTGGTGGAGTTGGTGCGTATCGTGAGCCGTCACACCCCAGCCCAGCCTGTGTGGACCCAGAAATGGCAGGGACCTCCCCAGTTCTCCTCAGCACCACTTTACAGCCTTGGGGGCTGTGGGAGACGCTGATCCTCAGCCTTTCAGCAGAGACAGCACAGGGCAGAACACGGGGGAAGATTTGAGGAGGGAGCTGTTGCTAACAGAGCTCTCTCTGTGTTCCTCCTCCCTGCTCAGGGGGGGTTTGCTGCAGACAGAGATGACCTCTGGGTGTTTAAAAAGAGGAAAATTAGGTCAGTTGTCTGCGTTGTAGGGCTGGGGGCAGCAGAATGGCTGTGAGATGGGCAGCATTCTGCCTCCTGATGTGTAGGGGACACAAACCCCAGTGGGACAAATGCTCCCCTTGATTCTGTTGTGTTAGAGCAGAGCTGGACACGGCGGCTGGGAGGGATGGGGGGAGGCACCAAGGATGTGGATTCCAGGGTGCATCCCTGCAGTGTGGGCTCTGTCCTGACGAGTGGGAGAGCTTCTGCATTGCAGGGAGGTGTGTGTGAATCCAGGAATGAGGTTTTCGGCTCCTGTGCTGGAGTCCCTGGGTGTCTGCTGTCGCGTCCCTGGAGGAGCAGTGCGTGTCCCTCCAGGCAGGCCCTGCTCAGGATGAGGCACGCAGGCATTGCCCAATACCACCAGCCAGCTACTGTTTTGTTGACATTCCAAATCCTGCATTATTTATTTATTTAGTAAAGCACCAGCCCAACTCCAGGTTGCACAAGTGAATTCCTGTGTGCTCCAGAGAGAAGCGACTGCAGCTCAGATCAGTCTCTGGGTGAAACAGCAGCTTGATTTTTGGATTCTGACCCTTTTAGAGGGCAGCTGATTGGAGGGGCAGCGTGCCCGAAGGCTGAGCCCTAGGGGCACACAAAACATGCCTGATAGCTTTCAATCAGCTTGCCCAGGCCTTTCTGAAAGTGCCTGTTAAAGCACCCCCATACGATGATTAGTAGTTGTATTTCTCGGCAGGCTCTGGGGTCGGCCAGATGGCACACCCAAGTCTAATGTTTGTTAACTAGACCTCAAATGCAGACCATCAAATAAAAATAAAAAAAAATCCCTTTCCTGAGGCACAGAGTTGATTTTGGGAGTGAACATTGACCTGACATGCTGTCGCTATGAATGGGCTCCATGGCTGCTAATCAAAGCTCTGTTTTGGTGGTGGTTTAAATTTGATTATCTGGGAAGATCCACACAGATCCTCCTCTGGGATGGCAGAGGATTTCTGTGCTCTGGTTTGGGTGTTTTTTTAAAATTTTTTTTTTTTGTTAGATGCAAAGCTGTGTGTGGTTCAAGCCTGGAGCTTGCTGTGGGGCTGGATGGAATCCTGGTCTGCTCAGAGAGGGGGAATGTGTTGTCCCTGTTGCGGTTAACGCCTAGAAACCTCAGATAAAACCACATTTCTTGGGGTTGGATGCTGTGCAGATGCTTGCTAAAGATAGCTGTGGCCTGGAAGTGTTCATAGTCCATAGAGGAAGGGTGGAGAATGAAGCTGAAGTTTCAAGGGCCGTGGTCAAGGTCACAGAATAGTGGAGCATGAGGATGGTGACTCATGTGGGTGCATGGGCTGAGCTGGAAGGGCTGTGCTCCTGCTGCAAGGCCCTGGGGACGATGACAGTGTGGGGAGGGTGCCTGGTGGTGGCCCCAGCCCATGATGACATGGCCCCAGCCATGAGTTGCCCCACACCAGCTGCATCTCACCATCTTTGGGCACCTCAGGTTGAAGTATGTGCTGTCTGTCTGTCCTCTGAGGAAGCAAGAACCTCCTGACCTGGTGGAGAAGGTGAAGGTGATGCTACTGGAGAAGGTCACTGTGCCCAGGCTGTCCAGCCCATATCTCCCAGCCTTGCACCTTGGGCATTTATTTTTCCTTATGCAAACAGAGTCCTGAGCCTGGACTCTCATCTCTTGCTCCCTGTGACTGGTCAAGGAGCCCACCCAGAGGCAGCAAAGGCAGCTGTGGGGGTTGGTGGTGTCCAGCCCCACCAGCTGGGACAGTGGTGGGAGTGCTGGGGCTCCTCTCAGTGTTTCTGACCCTCTGTGGCCCCAGGATGCCACTCGTGTGTCCCTGGCTGAGTGCTGGCACAGTGAGCTGGAACAGTGGCTGCTCCCCACAGCAGTCCTGGGGTGTGTGGGGCTCTCCCTGGGATGTGCAGGATGAAGGAAATGGGGTTGGGTTTGGGGAAGCCGCAGCTGTCGTGCCCTGGCGCGAGGAGCTGTGTGGACACAGCTCTTTAAACACACGCTGAAGTGATTCTCCTGTGTAAACCTGTTCTCTGGCTGATGGATCTAAAGGAGCAGCACTGCAGGCAGGATGAGCAGCCTGTGGTACCCTCCTGGGGAGCAGGAGATGACTTTGCAGGTTTTGATTTATTTATTTTTACCTTGCTGCCAGCACTGCCCATCCCCACGCAGGGCTGCAAACACTGGCCAAGGACAGCACAGGGTGGCCCAGCTGGGGGTGGTGTGGGGCTTTCCTGTGCCCTGGTGCAGGGAGGGAGGGGTGGGATGACCCCACTTTACCTCCTGTGAGGCATTCATCCCAGGCTTTCCTGGCCCACACGTAGGCCTGTGTGGCTTTTCTTTTCCTGCAGCCGTGGAGGCAGCGAGTGTAGCCCACGAGCAGCTGCTGCTGTGTGGGTGCTCCTGCACCCCATGATTTGGGATGTGATTGGAGGAGTGGAGCTGTGAAGCAGAGACAGTGCTATGAGATGCTGCTGCCTGGCAGAAGGGTTCAGCCCTTGATTCTCTGTTTCCCTGGGAGGTTTTGTGTTCTAAACTAAGGTATCCTGGTTCTAGGGAAGACAAGGTAATGCCCCCATCAACTTCTGGTGCCCTGACCAGTGCCAGTGAGCCTGGATTAACTAACTGGGTTAGGTTTTTTCTGTGCCCTTAAAACTCCAAACTAAACACACATATGTGCTACCATTGTCCCTAGTGAAAACATTAAACTGGGGGCTGTGGATCAATTTAAGTTGCTGCCTCTGCCTGTGCCAGTTTGCCTACAAGCAGGAGGCCATGGGAAGTATAGGCTCCAGCACATGGTTTGGAAGTGATGTGAGCTTTGGTTCCTATGGGATGAAATCCACTGCCCAAGGGTGCAGTGCTCTGCTCCTTCCCTGACCCTGCAGCCTTTCCTTCCTGCTGGCTGTCAGGACAGCTCTGTGCTCCTGCTTCCTGCATGGTTTGTGCTGCAGGCTTGGCATAAGTCATGTGAGGGAGCTCCTGTGGCTCATTTCCATTTAAAAAAGGGAAAAAAATAGGATAATGTATGCATCTAAATGCCCAAGTGTCAATACAGAGATGTTTTGCCCCCTCAAGGGGACCTCGTGCTTTGTGTTTGTATTAAAGAGTGTCCCTGAGAGCATTTGTACGTGCTATCCCCTGGGGCAGGGATGCACTGAGGAGGGCAGTGGCCATCCCAGAGTGCTGCTTTTGTGGTGGCTGTCACTGTGGAGAGGCTGATCTTGTGTCCCTTGCTCATGGGGGTAAGGTCAGCAGCACTGGACAGGGTGTTTTGTTGAGGCCTTTGGATAAGGGCTGAGGTTTCTGAGAGAGCTCAA